AAAAAAATATATATATATATATATATATATATATATATATATTCCTAAAAAAATCCTGCAAGCTGGATACAGTTCAGGTTCTAAAACACATTTTTAAAATACCACAGTACAAACCAGCTTCCACTCAAATCATTTCAAGCATTTAACCACTTTAGTTTTCTCTTAAGACAAAGACATTCTATTTTTTATATATAAATGCCAATTAAAAAGTTCCTAAAAATCAGAAATATTTGGGGTTTTTTTTCTACTAATACCATCAAATTCCAACCAGACATCCAACCAGAGTTTACTGGCTAATATGGCTGGAAAGTGTAGCATACAGTGTTCTATATAGTTCAATTCAAGACTATGTCTACTGTGATCAGTTACCCTCATGATGGGCTTAAGATCAGATCACAGCTTCATGTTGTGTTAGGTAAGAGTGGTCATATGGAATAGCATTTATCTTTCTGATTTTCACAAAAATATGAGGAAAGCACAGAACATGCTACAGCTGCACACAAACTCCTATCCTCAGAAGAATGAATATTGATGCAGAACTGGTAAAAGACAGCCAACTAAAATTATCAGACTGTGACTCCCTGACCCTAACATCCCACCTCCCACTTGCATGTTTTCAGATATTACTTATACTTCTACAATAAATGACAACACTGTAGTCTGCTTTACATTACTGTAAGCATGGTACCCCTTCTCCCACCACTCTTCCCTGCCCCAGCATTCACTAGAGGAAGGAAACAGAGACCAAATGGTTTCTCAAAAATGCCATGACTTGCAGAAGCCTGCCTCAGATCTTGTTCCTTGAAACACAGTTTAAAGAAGTCAGGGCATGAAAGACATTCTAGCTGGAAAAAAAAAAAAAAAAAAAAAAAAAAAAAAAAAAGCACGAAATTCTGAACCTGAACCTGCTCAGCACAGATTAGTACTCTGAGTAAACCAGATTTTGCAGTCATAGCTGTATTAGTCGAGCCATGAAAAGCACCTACTACTACTACGTTTTTAACCCAAAAGGTGCAATTCTAGGTCTGGAATAAATGTCAGTTCCACAAAACTCACAATGTTTTCCTGCTGCCCCTTCCTCTCTTCCACATCATCTCTCATTTGAGTCACTTTGTTTTGTCAAGTCTACTATCTACTAAACAAAACATTGTATTCTTGTCTTCTCCATTTACCTCATTCAAAAATGGAGGTTTGGATTCACTGGATTATAGAATGATTTCAGTTAGACAGGACCTCAGGAGGTCTGTCCAATTGCTTGTTCACAGCTCCATCAGCAATGGGGTCAAACCAGATGGTTCATCTCACCATTCTCCAGCTGGATCTTGAAAACTTCTAAGGATACAGTCTGCACAACCTCTCCAGGCAACTGGTTCCAGTGCTTGACTGTCTTAAAGTTTTCCTTTGCCTCAGGTCAGAAACTCCTGCATTATTTTATGACCACTTTCTCTTGTCCCCCGCCTGACCTCAATAAAGAGCTTGGTTCTATTTTGTAGACAACCTCTTTGCAGTCCGGGGGGGCTGCTGTTAGGTAGTCCAAAAGCCAACTCTTCTCCAGGCTGAACAAGCTCAGTTTCTCCATCCCTCACAGGGCAAGCGCTCCGGGCCTGATAATTTCAGGAGCTCTCCCCTGAACTCACCCGTTTGTCAATGACTTTCCAGTATTGGGGATATGCAAAACTTGACAGAGTATTCTAGATGTGATCTAACAAATGTGAGGTAAAATATGATAATCACTTCTCTCGATCTACCAACAGTTCTCCTGTTCATACAATCCAGGATGCTGTTGGTTTCCTTTGCTATCAGGGCACGCTGCTGGCTCACAATCATAACCAGTACCCTCTGAGCTTGACCATAAAACCAGCTTTTTTTTTTTTCTCCAGCTAGTTGCTAAGTTGTCTTATCCCAACCATAACAAGGATATTGTCAGACACCATGAAAAACCTTGCTAAAGTCAAGGTGACATCTAGTACTTTCTCATTATGTACAAATTCAGACTTTTTTTTCTTACAGAAGGCAAACAAGTTGGTCAGTCCCTTCATAAATCCATGCTAGCTTCAGTCTCCTCCCTCATGTGCCCAGAAATTATTCTCTCCCTCATGTGCCCAGAAATGCGGTCCAAGAAGACTAAATCCCTGATTTTTCAAAGGGATTGAAGAGAGATGCTGCATGGACTTTCAAAGACTTCAGGTTTCTCCCAGCACTCTCAGATACAGCCCATGTGGTTCCAGACTCCCTCCTTTGTCTTCAGAGCACAACAATAACGCTGCTTTAACCAGACTTCAACAGTATAAAGCAGGGTAATTGCTTACTCTCTTCCCATCTTTGTTCTGTGTGGTCACAGCTGTCTTTGTATGAAGGTATTTTGTAACTCAGAAAATGGAACAAACCTTGTTTATTTGTGACAGCCTTCACCTTAGTGAGATCTGACCAACCCCAGAGGATTATTCTGCTATAAGTCTTTAGATAAATAAAAAAAGGAAAATCAAGAGTCCTGCCTG